AGGTAAACCTGTGTCTACAGAGATTAATATATTATACAGAATACCTTGATAACAATCAACCTAATGATCTAGTATTGTTATTTTACAGGTAAAACTGTGTCTACAGAGATTAACATATTATACAGAATACCTTGATAACAATCAACCTAATGATCTAGTATTGTTATTTTACAGGTAAACCTGTGTCTACAGAGATTAATATATTATACAGAATACCTTGATAACAATCAACCTAATGATCTAGTATTGTTATTTTACAGGTAAAACTGTGTCTACAGAGATTAATATATTATACAGAATACCTTGATAACAATCAACCTAATGATCTAGTATTGTTATTTTACAGGTAAACCTGTGTCTACAGAGATTAACATATTATACAGAATACCTTGATAACAATCAACCTAATGATCTAGTATTGTTATTTTACAGGTAAACCTGTGTCTACAGAGATTAACATATTATACAGAATACCTTGATAACAATCAACCTAATGATCTAGTATTGTTATTTTACAGGTAAACCTGTGTCTACAGAGATTAATATATTATACAGAATACCTTGATAACAATCAACCTAATGATCTAGTATTGTTATTTTACAGGTAAACCTGTGTCTACTGAGATTAACATATTATACAGAATACCTTGATAACAATCAACCTAATGATCTAGTATTGTTATTTTACAGGTAAACCTGTGTCTACAGAGATTAATATATTATACAGAATACCTTGATAACAATCAACCTAATGATCTAGTATTGTTATTTTACAGGTAAAACTGTGTCTACAGAGATTAACATATTATACAGAATACCTTGATAACAATCAACCTAATGATCTACTACCAACAGAACAAACCTCCGTATTCAGATTGACTAATGATAAGAAACCTTACGAACCCTATGGTAAGTTGAAGCACACGCTAGAATTAATTTATTTCTATCATAAGCTCATTAGAATTTACTCAGTATATATACTTGTATCAGGTGATTTAATATTAATAAGTGATTTATTTTATAATAAGTTATTATGAGTACCAGTAATTATTTGTGTTTGTATTTTATCAGGTGATTTAATATTAATAAGTGATTTATTTTATAATTAGTTATTATGAGTACCAGTAATTATTTGTGTTTGTATTTTATCAGGTGATTTAATATTTATAAGTGATTTATTTTATAATTAGTTATTATGAGTACCAGTAATTGTTTCTGTTTGTATTTTATCAGGTGATTTAATGTTAATAAGTGATTTATTTTATAATTAGTTATTATGAGTACCAGTTATTATTTGTGTTTGTATTTTATCAGGTGATATAATATTTATAAGTGATTTATTTTATAATTAGTTATTATGAGTACCAGTAATTGTTTGTGTTTATATTTTATCAGGTGATTTAATATTAATAAGTGATTTAATTTATAATAAGTTATTATGAGTACCAGTAATTGTTTGTGTTTATATTTTATCAGGTGATTTAATATTAATAAGTGATCTATTTTATAATTAGTTATTATAAGTACCATTAATTATTTGTGTTTGTATTTTATCAGGTGATTTAATATTAATAAGTGATTTATTTTATAATTAGTTATTATGAGTACCAGTAATTATTTGTGTTTATATTTTATCAGGTGATTTAATATTAATAAGTGATTTATTTTATAATTAGTTATTATAAGTACCAGTAATTATTTGTGTTTGTATTTTATCAGGTGATTTAATATTTATAAGTGATTTATTTTATGATTAGTTATTATGAGTACCAGTAATTATTTGTGTTTATATTTTATCAGGTGATTTAATATTAACAAGTGATTTATTTTATAATTAGTTATTATAAGTACCAGTAATTATTTGTGTTTGTATTTTATCAGGTGATTTAATATTTATAAGTGATTTATTTTATAATTAGTTATAGTGAGTACCAGTAATTGTTTGTGTTTATATTTTATCAGGTGATTTAATATTACTAAGTGATTTATTTTATATTTAGTTATTATGAGTACCAGTAATTATTTGTGTTTATATTTAATCAGGTGATTTAATATTTATAAGTGATTTATTTTATAATTAGTTATAATGAGTACCAGTAATTGTTTGTATTTATATTTTATCAGGTGATTTAATATTTATAAGTGATTTATTTTATACTTAGTTATTATGAGTACCAGTAATTGTTTGTGTTTATATTTTATCAGGTGATTTAATATTAATAAGTGATTTAATTTATAATAAGTTATTATGAGTACCAGTAATTATTTGTGTTTATATTTTATCAGGTGATTTAATATTTATAAGTGATTTATTTTATAATTAGTTATTATGAGTACCAGTAATTATTTGTGTTTGTATTTTATCAGGTGATTTAATATTAATAAGTGATTTATTTTATAATTAGTTATTATAAGTACCAGTAATTATTTGTGTTTGTATTTTATCAGGTGATTTAATATTTATAAGTGATTTATTTTATAATTAGTTATAGTGAGTACCAGTAATTGTTTGTGTTTATATTTTATCAGGTGATTTAATATA